GGATGGATGTTCATGACAACGTTTACAGAGGTTTTTCTTGAATTCTAGAATTTGGCAGTAATTTTTACATTCAACTTAATAAATTCTCTCATTTAAGTATTTTGATATTTGTGTAAAATAAAATTAAAGATCAAGACAGGAGATTCTGTCACATTAGTGATACTGACTTGATGAAACCTCAAGTGAGTACTCACCACGAAATATTATGTCATATGATGTCATGACTCCTAAACTATAAATTTATATTAACATGGCATTATCCCTTTTTTGGAATAATTTAATATAATTACAGGATGGAATCAAACAATACTCAAGTGCTTCAGGGTCTGCTACCAAAACAACTGCTGCAGTCAGTGATTCCTTCCTAGGCCTGCAAGTGTACGGCCGACAGGTAAGCAGGCAAAATGACACAGGTCTCTCTTCCTCTTCAGAGCATTGCATAATGGAATTTAGTAACTCAGTCATTGTACAGTACTGGAGATCTGTTTGTTTGAAAATAAGGCAAAAATTATAATATAAGGAGAGATTGGAAGGGGATCTCCTTGAGCCTTCAAGAACATTAAAATTTTAGCTAATCCTGGACAGTATAATCAAGGAAAATAACTTCCTGATACACATGAAAAAGATTTAAATTGCAGAAGTTGAAATGACAATCTTATTGAAAAAGAAAATAAAGACAGATACAGTTTAATAGAACAACATAGAATATATAGAGATTGTTCTATTCTTGGGTTAAAAGATGACAGAAGAGTGTTGAATACTTAGTCTCAGTTTTTTAAATTCTTTGAGCTGGTCGTAAAATTGGCCATAGTGACCACCAACTAATACATTTACCGTTTCTATGTCTACATTTACATTTATAACTAACACGTTATCACTTTTCTGAAATTTCACGAGTTTAATTTATATCTGTCTTTGCTGACTTATATTGAAAGCATTTGCATCTTAGGATAATACTAGCTCAAGAAACAATCTTCTTGGCATTTAGGAATGACATGTAAGTTCAGTTACCCAGCTGAGATAACTGGTAGACTATGAAGCTATTATTGAGAGAAGAGAAATATCCAATTTTGTGGAACCATATATAAAAATTTTGTGGAAAGAGGTATCTAAAAGTGTATGATACCTAATAAATAATACCATTCAGAAATACATTCATTAGCAAATAACTAACATTAAATTTCAGAAACAAAGTGTAAAAATAAAGGGGAGAAGGTGGAATTAGAGATACCAGCTTTCTAGTTTTTGCTCTGTCACAAGTCAGTATTACCTTGAAACCTGAAAATAACCACGTAATTTCCTTTGAGACTGTTTTCTTATCTGTTAGAAAGAGACAAAGGGATTAGATGATGATGATGATATCCTGTCATATATCTCAAGATTTTTATAAGAAACTGAAAAGCTTTTGGAAACCAAAGA